TCCGGAATACCTGCGAGACAGGGGTTCCTTCCGACGAGCTTATCTCTCTGCTCACGCGTCCGAATTTCACGATTCCACTTGCTATGAGACCGTGCTCCAATGCTCTCCAACTTCTATAAAGCACCCGCCGTCTGAATCGGACCGGAAGGCTCCCCGGACAGGCGACTTTCTGAGGCACTTTCACACCCGGAGATTTTGGCCGATACACTTCATTCGCGGTACATGAAAATGGCCGGTAAAGCTTCCCGCGGTACATGTAAAACCTTCCTGGTCAGCGAGAATGGCCGATAATCTCCTAAGACCCAATTTTTCCACTTTTTCAAGCTTTGCTCACCATTCCACCTCCTGGATTCATCTTTTCAGCTCCATATTCACCTGATAGACACTCAAAACATGCAAAGACTCATTGGGACCTAATGCATCTCCTAAGTTCTAAAACAAACCCTAAGGACCTAAAATGCATGAAATAAAACATGATTTTGAATGATTTATGCAACCTAAATGATGCAAATTATGAACATATCAATATATGCATATAGTTCTTGATTTTTCATTTGCATTTTTCTTGCTTTTGCTTTTCACTCCTCTTTCATATTTTTATAACACAAGGGACCGTGTTAGTTAAGTGTGGGGAGGGGTTTAGTGTCTACTAACCATGTTTTCTTTGATCTCATTTGCTATTTAAGAGTCTTGAGGCTCATTGATCATGCATTAACATCTAAATGCATAGAAAAACCAAAAAAATTGAAAATTTTGAAAAATTTTCACAAAAAATGTTCATTTAGTTGCATTCACATTTTTAGGATTGAGTCTAGAGTTGCATAATTATATAGGTTTGCATCATTTGCATGGGAGTAATGATAGGTTTCTTTGAGAGAGAGCATCATCTTAAGAATTTGGTTCATGGCCTTAGTTATTAGTTCTTTAGTGCTTGCAAAACTGGTATGAAATCAAGGGTGAACCATGCTTGTAACTAGTGTCTCAATGGTTCTGTGTTAGTTGGATCAAGTGGTGATTAACTCCAGCCTTGCTTGCGTGAAAACCATAATTTGACAATCCAATTATCATGTTTGTGCATATCATTGTGAATTCATGGGTACCATAAAATATTTGAGCTCTCTTATCCCTTTTTGCCACTCTTGCTAGCTCAAATAGTTGTTCTCTCATCTTGAGACAGTTCCCTGCATTTAGCCAAACCATCTTTGAAGCCAAGAAACCTTAGTGTGTGCATATGTGTGAGGCCTTGTTTCTAGTAGACTTGGTAAAACGTGTTGGGTTTAGAGCGACAGAGATAGGGCTGCATGTAGATACTAGTCCATCATCAAGGGCTAGTATAGGTTTAGGCGAGTGTATGGGAGGTTTTTTGGGTTTGTGAGCTGAAAGAAAAATCTTGAGAGGTGGAAATGGGAGAGAAAATGGTGCTGTGTTGGGGAATGTATTCTGAAAAGAAATGGAGAGTGAGAAATGAAAAGAAATCTCTGAGTTGAAGTTTAAAGTCTCTGGAAAAGAAAAGAAAAGAATCAAAAAGAGAGAGACTATATTAAATAAATAGCTAAGTGTTTAAATAAACAAAATCTCATTAAGTGTTTGAAAAGAAAAGAGAACATTTCCCTAGAGATAAAATGAAAAGAAGTGAATGAGAGCTGGTGTTCACTAAAGGCAAATGCCATTGGGAAAGGGTAGCTTAAGAAGAGAGACTTCACAGGTTTAGAGTAAGGAGTGAAAGCATTTTTGGGTGTGGGTAGATATAATTCTGTGTTTGTATGCATCCATTGCTTTTTACCGTTAGCATTTTACTAAAGTCTATTATTTCTTAAGAGATCCCTTTGCATGGAGTAACCAGTGACTTATATTGGATCATTTTAATCTCAAAACCCAGTCCCAAGCCAAATGAATTCACATGATTTCCATGAGCATGATCCACATGAAACTTAAATGAATAACAAAAGGCTGGAGTTAGGAATTCTTGTGAAGGTTGACACTTGAGCTTGGTTCATTTGGTGATGAGTATGGCTAGTTTTTATGAGTACATCAGTTTGCATTGCAATTAAGAACTAGTAACTAGGACCATGAGCTTGAACTCTTTTGATGATCAACTCTCTCTCTCTCTCTTTAAAAAAATGTGAACTCCCAAACATTCAGCCTCTCTCTCTCATTTGTTATAGTTTGCTTGAGGGCAAGCAAAGGATAAGTGTGGGAGAGTTGATATATTCATATCTTTGCATGTTTAGGGTGTTTTTTTAGTCTAAGAATAGAGTCTCACGCATGCATTTTAGATAGATTTATTGTGTTTCATCTTTGTTTTAGAATTTTAAGACTTTGCATTAGGTCCAAGTGAGTCTTGCATGTTTGGAGTGTCTATTAGGTACTTTGGAGGTCACTTGGAGTGGAAAAGGTGAAACCAGGTGAATAAATGGTGAAAGAATGAGCTAAACCATATACCACATAAAGGATTTTACCGGCCAAAGTTGCATACCGGATCGAGCAGTCTCGGCCAAAAGTTCATGTCGCAGGAAAATTGTTTTATCGGCCAAAATGTTGTACCGTGATATACATGAACGTTGGCCAAAACGTGTACCGCGGTACATCTTTCTACGCAAGAATTCTCCTATGCCAATACGCCTCAAAGATCGCGTTACTGGAAAGTCTTACCATCTGATTCAGCTTCCCAGGTTTCATTGAAAATCAAGACGATTGAGTCACGGTTCCAGGAAAGTTTTAATCAATGGATTTGGAGCACTAAGGTGAGAGATATAGCCAACAGCAGCCGAATCTGTCTCGCATCCGTTCCGAACCAATCTGACACGCCTCAGAGATCACCCAGAACGAAACCCTTCCCGTAGGATCCAATCTCCGGTGTATCAACGAAAATTTGAGATCATTGAATCTAGTTTCCAGAAAACTTGGATTCAGGAGATTTAAAGCATGGAGCTGGGAGATAACGTAAACAGAAGAAACACAGGTCTAAAGGCCAATCCAGACCAGTGCAGTGCGCCTTAAAGATTGGCTTACCAGGAAGCTTTTCCGACCTCAGATGGATGTACGTTCTTCATCAAAATTTGAACTGGTTGAGTCAACTATCGTTTGGGCTTAGGTTCGAGTCATTTGGGTAACTGAGCTGAGAATTACTGCAAACGGAAGACAAACATATCATTCCGGATTCAAGAGAGCTGTCAAGGTGCTAAGTGTTTTATTAGGCCTTGGTGTGAACCCCTCGGCATATCTTGATACCGAGGCAAATTCTCCAAACTTTTGGCCATTCCCTCAGTCTGACACCTCGGATAACACAACACCGAGGCATGTTGTGTTCAGAATACTAGTCTCTAAACGACTAAGTATAAGGCTGGGAACATCTATAGGTTTGATCTTGAATTTGCCTAAGTGTTACAGCTGGCTTCGGCATTACCATTCGGTAAACACTACCCCAAGACCCTCCTGCACAGGACCCCTAGACATAACCCCTCCGCCTGGATATACTGAGGCATGTCTTGCACGCAACAAATGCTCAAAACCTTGGCCTGATATCTAGCCTATTCCATACCGAAGCATGTCTTGCGAATGAAATGTGCAAGACCTCGGCCTGATCCCTCGGCATGCATGACCCCGAGGCCTCTTGTCATGACAACCCAGATCAGAACAGCTTGCTTCACGTTCAAAGATCTTAACCGGATAAAAGCCAAAGTTCCCATGTTCTTGAGATGTTCTTCACATTTCAACCCAGTTTCAAGACCCCTCGGTGTATGGTCTCGGCATGGACATTATTCAGGACCCCGAGGCATGGCTCTAGCAACCCAAGAAAACCGGATCAGTACCCAGTTTGTCTTGGGCTGACCCGGTCCGATCACGCTCACTATAAATAGTTTTTGGGGTTGAAAACCCTACTTATCCTTTATTTACTTTTGAAACTTGCCTTTTTTTGAAAAACCCATATTTTTTCAAAAGATATCTTTGAGTTAATCAGATTTAAAGCTGTTATTGCAATCTTTTCAACTTTTCTCATCATCTAAAGCTTCTAATCATGATTAACAACACATCTTGCAAAGAACTAAGTGTGTTGATTGTTGGGGTCGGTTTTCACCTTCACGAGTTTAACTGCTCGAAAAAAGACTAAGTGTCGGAATCGGGTTTTGAAAAGTTCAAGAACACGATTTTGGTGGGAGGAATCAAACCAAAGAAGCAATTAAACCGTGCCGATCCCGATTCGATCTTGGGCCAAACCGAACCAAGAGCTGGTTCGGTTAAACCGAGCCAAATCAGAGGCTCTCGATCCGGCCAACCAAACCAGTGAGGGCATAGAACTGAACCAAGCCTGGTCAAGTTTGGTTCGAGACCTTCCCGCGTACTTCAGTCTAAGAGCAATCCCGCAAACAAAATGTATTGGGCCGAGCCAAAGGGTAGGAGGCATTGATGGGCCGAGCCGGGTAACCGCGAAGATCCAGTAAACGAGCCCAGAAGGAGTTTACCTTAAGGATGATCGAAGTCGCCAGCCGCACAAAAGGAAAAATTCTGAGAATCTCGGGAGAGAATCTTGGCTAGGCGGTTTAGTGTTTAGGAATCAACGCCGCGGAGTGACGGGAACTTCCAGAGACGTCTTGCGAAGGTTCAGCCTGCGACCAACCGCCTTCGAGTTCGTGACGCCCGCAAACAGTCTCGGAGGGGCGCAGCAAAATCCGTTCGACTTGGTGACACCCGCGGTGAAGAAGTCCACACAGACTGAGCAACCTCTGCTAGCTCGGAGAGGAAGAGCGAACGGCGAAAAATGCGCTAAGCAGAACAATGGTGAGGCCGCAGAAAATATCGGTAAGGAGACGATCAATGTCGATGACGAAGATGACTAGGACGAGGAGCTCGTCTTTCGAACAGGCCGTGCTTCGGGACGTATTACCCGAGCCGAAATCGAAGAAGCGTTGGAAGGAGCAAAGGCGAACGAAGAAGATGACGCCGCGCTCCGACACCAAAACCTGACAAAAGAAGAGGAAAGCTTGCTCTAGGTCGAGCAAATGAAACAAGATAGCTCGGCGCAAAAAGGGAGTCAACGTGGTAACGCAAACCGAGCCGCTCTAAATGGTGGCAGTATCGAGGATGAAGTTGACGAGCCGCGAAAGAACAACCAGACGAAGGAGATGATCGAGCTCCGAGCCACTATAGCTCGGACAGCTGCCGAGATGAGGGCAGTCAGATCACAAGTCCATCATCCAATCAGTTCGGCACCGGAGATAGATCGAGTGTTCGAAGAAACTCAGCGCATGCCATTCACGGCTCGAATCACCGAAGCTCGGATTCCTGAGCCAGGAAATATAAGAATCCCCTTTTACGAAGGGACAACCGACCCGAAGGCACACATCATAGCTTTTCGGATTGGAATGGGACGAGCCTTCTCGAGAAACGCCCCCAATCTTAGCGAAGACGAAAGAGATGCCGGTTTTTGTCTCCTCTTTGTCGAACACCTGAAGGGCGCAACATTGGAGTGGTTCTCGAGGCTCGAGCGTAACTCCATTAACAAGTTTCAGCAGTTGTCTGCCGTTTTTCTGAAACAGTATTCAATGTTCATGGATCGAGGAACCTTCGATGCCGATTTATGGACTTTGTCTCAAGGACCAAACGAGCCATTGAGAGCTTACATGGATCGGTTCAAAGCGGTGGTGTCAAAGGTGGAGGGAGTGAGCGACAAGGCAGCCCTAGAAGCACTGAAAATATCACTATGGTATAAGTCCGAGTTCCGAAGAGAAATGGCGTTCAACACGCCGCTCACGATCCAAGATGCCCTACATCGCTCTGCCGACTTTGTCGTGAATGAAGAAGAGATGAAGAACCTAGACGATCAGTACGAGTCGACAAAAGCGGCGATCCGAAATTCTCTCACGACTCGTCAAAGAAACGTGAGGAATAATGACTATGTACACCACGAAGGGCCGAGGCTACGAGGAGCCCACAATTATCACGTGGAAACCGGGCGAGGCAAAGGACCATGGAATACTTGGACTCGGAACCCCCGAATTTACGATGAAAAGGCATTCTGCGAACACCACCAATGCTACGGGCACTCGACGGTAAATTGTCGGTTCTTGGCAGCCCGACTCGCCGCAAAGCGAGCAGCAGGGGAACACGAATAAACCAAGGCTACCAAAGAGCCCGAGGACGAGAAGCGAGAAGGTGACCAAGTTAATCCCCTAAACATAGAGCAAGGGAACCGAGGCGAAGCCCAAAAGCGAGGAAGGAGGAATAACGAGGATCCGCGAGATGGCCCCAGAAGAAGGATCAATTTGATAATGGGAGGATCACAATACTGTCTCGACAACGTATCGTCGATTAAAGCTTTCCAAAGGAGAGCCGATGCAAGTGTTAATTGGGCGGAGCCCCCGAGCTATCCTGCTACCACAATTTCGTTTTCGGAAGACGAAACTGTGGGAATCGATGCGCCACATAGTGATCCCCTCGTAATCGAGATCACTATTAGAGACCACGATGTTGCCAGAATCCTGATCCATACAGGAATCTCGGTAGACATCATCTTCCGCGAAACCCTCAGAAGGATGGAAATCGATTTGTTCGAAGTTAGCGCTATCCTGAAGCCGCTGACAGGGTTCTCAGGAGAAACAACGATGACGATCGGGATGATCAGGCTTCCCGTTCAAGCAGGAGGAGTAACAAAATTCGTGGAGTTTTCCGTAGCTGACCATCCGGCGGTTTACAACGTGATCATGGGAACGCCGTTGTTGAACTCAATGCGAGCCGTTCCATTAACCTACCATTTATGCGTCAAGTTCCCGACTCCTGGTGGAATCAAGACGATATGGGGAAACCAAAAGGATTCGCGCATGTGCTTCTTAGCCGAGCATAAGATGAGGAAGCCCGTAGTAGACTCGGTTGCAGACGAAAAATAGGAAAAAGCTAAAGACGAACCGAGAATCTGCGAATGAGCTCGCCAAGATTTTATAGCAATTACAGATCGGTGAGGCGCGTGAGGAGAAGAGCGCGCCGAGCTGTGATCCGGTGATCTCGGTATGCATAGATGAACTACATCCGGAGCGGTGTGTAGAAATCGGAGCAACACTCGACGAGGCGATCAAAGCGGAGATCATCGCTTTCTTAAAACAGAATGTTAGAACATTTGCATGGAGCACGGAAGACATGCCGGAAATTAGCATCGATGTACCGTGCCACGAGCTCAACGTGGACCCGACATTCAAACTGGTGAAGCAGAAGAAGAGAAAGCTAGGTCCCGACCGAGCCAAGGCAGTAAACGACGAAGTGGAGCGACTCCTAAAGGTGCGTTCGATTTCCGAGGCCAAATATCCAGATTAGCTCGCTAATCCCGTAGTAGTGAAGAAGAAAAACGGTAAATGATAAAAACACCTGTAAAAACACCTGTAAAAGATATTAAAATGATCCATGAAAATGGTCAAAATCCGGTGTTATCAACTCCCCCAGACTTAGTCTTTTGTTTGTCCTCAAACAAAACAAAGGCTAAATCTCGACGAGAGGTTGAAAACGCAAGAACTAAA